CCACCAACTAACATGTTTGCAGAAAACCAACATTGTATGTAAATTTAAATGTCCTCTGGGAGATTGTATATCCAATGAAAAAAATAATATTTATGTTGGCCACACTATGATCACGTTGTCTTAGTGGCTGAGTTTTCATTTGAATGATGCATCCAACATTTCTAAATATTTACAACAGCATGCCTGTCCACATTCACAATTCAGAAAAATTCTTGCTGAAAATACATCTAAATATTTTCATGACAATAATAAACAGAAACTAAAAGTTCTTGAAGCTACTTTTATTAAAAACTTGAAACCAAACCTAAATGAAATTAATTCTGAATATTGCACAAATGTTTTAAAATGTGTGTAGTACATAGTTTAAAATACCGAGGTTTGTCCCAATAGTTCTTAATACTTATTTTTTTAAAAAACTCCCCATAACTTAATCTCCTGAAGTGTTACTTAGCAGATGTTACTAAACTCAACATTCTTCACTTAATCAGTAAAAATTTTAACTTTCAGATGAATACAGAAATTTTGTGTTTGAAAATAAAGAACACTACTATATTAGTGTTGTCAAAAACAACACCCTGACGATGACATTGCGCTAATGTTGAAAGTACTCAGAATAAAAAACATGCATGAACACAGTAATTTTCTCTCTTCCTTTAATAATGACACCAAAAAGCTTGTCTGTGAATATGAAATTAGTAGATAAAACTTGTCTAAATTATTCAATAAAATATATATATATATATATATATATATATATATATATATATATATATGTATGTATATATATATATATATATATATATATGTATATATATATGTATGTATATATATATATATATATGTATATATATATATGTATCTATATATATATATATATATATATATATATATATATATATATATATATATATATATATATATATATATATATATATATATATGTATATGATATTGGTTTGTACAGAGACGATGGGCTTATGGTTATTAGAAACTCAACGAACTTCAAAATAGATAGAATTAGAAAGTTATTATATAAAGAATTTAAAAGCATGGGCTTAAAAATTACGGTTAGTACAAAAAAAAAAAAGTAGACTTCCTAGATATAATTTTTAGATCTAAATAAAAATACATACACACACTTATAAAAAACCCAACACCAACTTTATATATACATCCTAAATCAAATCACCCCCATCTATAATTAAACATATACCGTTATCTATAAGTAAATGAATTAGTACAAATTCAGCTAATAACAAGATTTTTTTGATGAGCATATCAATTGCTATAATAAGGCTCTAAAAGATAGTGGCTACAAAAACCCAAAACTAGCTTATATAAAAAATGAAAATGGAAAGCATAGAAAAACAGATGTAGAAAAATTATTTGGTATACTCCCCATATAACCAAATGGTAAAAGAACAGATTAGGACATAAATTCCTCGCATTAATAGTCAACATTTTCCTAGTGAAAGTAAACTAAGTACTATTTTCAATAAAAAACACACTAAAATTAAGTTATAGCTGTACAAAAAACTTAGAAAAATCATTAAGAACCATAATGCTAATATCTTAAATAAACACTTATACCAAAAAACCAAAAAAGTTTAGACAATGGAAAAATTAAGATAAAAACCGATGGAAATAAACAAAAACTATGTAACTGTAGAAACCCTCAAAATTGCCCACTACAAAATAAATGTCGCACTGAATCATTAGTATACCAATGCAATATCTCTTCAATTGAAAGTCCTGATAACATAAAAATATATATAGGTTGCACTAGCCATGAATTCAAAAAAAAAGATTCAACCAACATCAAACTTCATTTAGAATAAATAAATATAAAATCAAACATCTCTCTCAAAAATATTTCTGGCATCTAAAAGAATCAAATAAAACACCTCCAGTAAAATGGAAGTTAATAAGAAAAGCTAGAATTTGTAGATCATTAAACGACCCGTGTCCTCTATGTATACAAGAGAAACTATATATTACTAAGTTTATAAAAAAGAAAAATTTACTGAATCAGAGAAATGAAATAGCTATTATATGCTGTCATTGTCAAAAATTTTCCTTAAATAATATAAAAAAAAAAAAAAAAAAGAAAAAAGTCTATTGGAATGGCAGGAAAAATGTTTTAAACTTGTATTTAAAATTTAAAATTGTAGTTAAAACGTATTAAAACATAAGCATCTTTTAAAAATTGTAGTTAAATAAAATGTATCCTAACCGAAACACCTCTATAATAAATGTACTACAAACACTTGAATGAATCCAATAAAACACCTACTGAAAAATGAAATTATAACAAAAGCTAGATGATGTAAGGTAATGTATGACCCATTGTTCTTTGTACATACATATGAAACTTTATTACTCAGTTTACATATATTTAAAATAAATAAATTAATTAACACATAAAGTTTACTAAATCTGAGAAATGATTTAGATAGTTTTGTAGTCTGTGCCATTTATATTACTTAAATGATATTTAAATATAATAGTTTAAAAATTGTAATTTATATATACTTTGATATGGAAAAATAATTATACTTACTATGAGTAATTATCCTTCTGTTATAAAGTAATATATTCTATTAAAACTAACAATGAAAATATTTTAAAATTTTTAAAGTGGTAATTTTAAAATTGTAATTAAAATTGTAGTTAAACAAAAAATGAATTCTAACCTGTTCTTTTGTACATACATATGAAACTTTATTACTTAGGTTACATATATTTAAAATAAATAAATAAATTAATTAATAAATAAAGTTTACTAAATCTGAGAAATGACTTGGCTAGTTTTGTAGTAAGTTCCATTAATATTACTTAAATAATATTTAAATATAAAAGTTTAAAAATTGTAATTTACATATACTTGGATATTGAAAAATAATTTTACTTACTATGAGTAATTTTCCTTCTGTTATAAAGTAATATAGTCTATTAAAACTAACAATGAAAATATTTCAAAAGTTTAAAGTTTGTAATTTTAAAATTGAAACTAAAATTATAGTTAAATTGAATGAATTCTAACCTAAATTTCTTTTAAATAATACTACACTAAAAAACTAAAAAGAATCCAAAAAAACACCTATAGTAAAATAAAATTAATATGAAATGCCATAAGATGTAAGCTTTTGAATGACCCATGTCCTTTGTACTTACATGAGAAACATTATATTACTAGGTTTATATATATAAAAAAAAAAAAGATGTAACCTCATATATATACTTAAACTTGAATTAATACATAAAGTTTACTAATTCTGAGAAATGACTTAGATAGTTTTGTAGTCTGGGCCATTAATATTACTTAAATAATATCTAAATATAAAAGTTTAAAAATTGTAATTTACATATACTTTGATATGGAAAAATAATTTTACTTATTATGAGTAATTATCCTTCTGTTATAAAGTAATATAGTCTATTAAAACTAACAATGAAAATATTTTAAAATTTTAAAGTTGTAATTTTAAAATTGTAATTAAAATTGTAGTTAAATAAAATGAATTCTAACCTGTTATTTATACATACATATGAAACTTTATTACTTAGGTTACATATATTTGAAATAAATAAATTAATTAATTAATAAATAAAGTTTACTAAATCTGAGAAATGACTTAGCTAGTTTTGTAGTAAGTGCCATTAATATTACTTAAATAATATTTAAATTTAAAAGTTTATAAAAAAAAAAAAAAAATTATAATTTACATATACTTTGATATGGAAAAATAATTTTACTTACTATGAGTAATTTTCCTTCTGTTATAAAGTAATATAGTCTATTAAAACTAAACAATGAAAATATTTTAAAAATTTTAAAGTTGTAATTTTGAAATTGTAATTAAAATTGTAGTTAAATTGAATGAATTCTAACCTAAATTTCTTTTAAATAATACTACAGTACACGCACTAAAAAGAATCCAAAAATAACACCTATAGTAAAATAAAATTAATATGAAATGCCATAAGATGTAAGCTTTTGAATGACCCATGTCCTTAGTACTTACATGAGAAATATTATAATACTAGGTTTATATATAAAATAAAAGTTTACTGAATCAGTGAAATTAAGTAACCATTTTTGCCGTCATAGTCATATATTTTAAAAAAAAAAAAAAAAAAAGTAACCTCATATACATACTTTAAACTTGATGTTAAAATAATCCTACATAATATAATGGATTCTAATACATTTAACTGTTCTTAAAAAGAATATAGTAAAATAAAATTAAAAAGGAGAATATTTCAAATCGTAGTTAAATAAAAGTATTAGAAAAAAAAAAAAAAAAAAAATCTTTAAATTTAAAAATGACGTTCAAAATTTTTTACCGTTAACAATTTTTTTTTTTTTTAAATTCAGACGACATCCATTCAACTGATGTCAGGTTTCATTGTAAAAATACATCCCTACCCCCTTACCAAATTGTAGCTAATAACTGATACAATGATACTGACATAAGTGAAAATCTTGACACTTTTTGTTCAATTTAAGTAGAATATTCTGTAACCATGGAAACGTGATTTTAGCTGTGTCTTTAAAAACCCGGTAATTTTAAAAGTTACTCCAAAATTCGCTTGAAGATGAAATGGAACTAATGCTTTTAATTTAATTGCAAAAATTAAATTGGGGTTTTAGCTTCTATTTTTGAAACATGGTTGGAACTGTGTAGAAAAAAAAAACATATTTTAAATCAATTAATTTATAATATTAATGCTCTGTAAATTTACATTGAGCACTATTTTGTAAAAATAAAATATCTATAAGAACACCGGATTTTATATCTTACTGTTCTTTCTTTTTTATTTATATACATACATATATATATATATATATATATATATATATATATATATATATATATATATATATATGTATATATATATATATATATATATATATATATATATATATATTCATTATATGTTTAGTCAGATTTTTCTTTTTTATTCTATGACTAAAAAAGTTATGAATGGCCTCCAACATGCTTAAGCCTGTCTTTTCTTGCTTTATGACCCTCTTTGGGGGTTTGCTTTCCTCAAATTCTGATGCTTTGATGTGAATGTTAAATTCTCCAAACCTCCTTTTCTAAATATGATCTCCCCTCCACCATCAATTTTAACTGTCAGCAATTTCTTTATAATTTCTATTCTTAAAAATTCCTTATTTCTCCCATTTTCTGTTCTTAGTATTCTTAGTATCCATCAGTAGATCTATCAGTCACTTCAAATCTTTTGTTCATTTGTGATGAAATTATCTCACATTCACTGCCATGTCAGAGATTAGACATTACATATTAGTTCGTTCTTTGTTTTTTTTCCTTCATAGCTTACTTGGATATGCAGGTAGCAAAAATAAAAAAAAAAAACAGTTATTGGTGCTGAAAGTGAAAATGGCAAGCTGAATTCAAATCCCCACCTTTCCTGTGGCATTCATTTTTGTACTAATGCCCTTGAGAAAGTCATGGATCCATCCCTTCTGATTAGGCTGGGCTCTTTAATCTTGACTGGTAGCTTTTCTAAGAGGAGTATTACTCTGAACTGAAAACCCTGGAGGAGGCAATGGGAAACAACTCCATTATCTTTCCCAAGAAATCATGGGAAATCAGCACAAATAATAAAGAAAAAGAATCTAAGGAAAACCATGACTGTGTTCATTCTGAAAGGACATGACATTTAAAAATATACCTTGTTCAGTTTCTGATAAAACATAAGCAAAAAACATCAGTCCAACATGTAACCTATAAATTGTAAATGCCAAGATCAAGTAGGTTCAATAACACTCTACCTTAAGTGGCTCTTGGGCATTGTATAGAGTGAATATTAGTAAAGTACAGAAATTTAACTGGGTAATGTATTAACAGATGACAGTAAATGTAACATGAATTGGAATAGCATATCATACCTTCTAGAAACTAAACAATATATTAATAAGCAGGAAAATTTTGTTAGTAATAAAGCAAAAAGTATCTGAAATGAACTGCTGTGTTATATCTATATGGCAATGAATGCCGAACTATTTCCCTAGGGATGAAGAAAAGGCATAAAGTAACAGATGTGGTTCTTCATATGGATGCTAAGAATACTATTGACTGAAAATGGGATCAGCAAAATAGTTTAAAACTAAATGATCTAGTTGAATTTATTGTGATACATACAAAGGAAAGATAATTTAGAGAATTTGAAACTCAAAGGCAGCAGGGGGTAGTTTATTGAATTTTTTATATGGCTTATCATTCCTTTGTGAGTTAAAGCTGAAACATATTTTTGGTCTTAAGAACAATTCTTTTTTTGTAAGGGAATATTGTATTTACAACTTTTTTTTACAAATAACAATGAATAACTCTCCAATTTCTCATTCTGAGCCACTATCCATTACATCACCCAGAAATCCCATCGGAGGTAGAGGGAATCAGCAAGTAACTTACCTAACAAGTTGCTTGAATGGATAGCACACCAGGGATAAAAATAGATGGTAAAGAATAAAAAATTGCTTAGAGCTCAAAGGGACAGGAAGTTGTGGAGAGCAATGATTACCCAGGTCCTGGAAGAACACAGCACAGAAAAGAAAGATATGTCTTTGGAAGTTTTGAGGATTTTTCAATGAAATTACTGCTAATAATCAGAGTTTAATTTAGGTGGAACTTTTTCTTCTATGTACAGTGTCCCTTCAGAATATTGGTGGTCATGGCTCTTCGTAATTTCCTGTCCTTCCTGTAGCTTTTAATAAATTTTTTTTTATCTCTTGTTCTGCCATACATTTACTCAAGCTCACTTTTGTAGCAAAAGAGAAATTCATCAAGAAAAAAAAGCACGTGCGTTCTGTACAATATGCTGAAGACAAAATATCCAAAATAGAAAACAAGTCAGTCACAGCTGTGGCCATAAATGCTTCTTGGATATGCTAATATTGTTTGTCCTATCCAAATGTCAGCCAATGAAAAAAATTGTTCCATTGCTAAAAGCAGTTGGCGTTCTTGAATTAGGAGAGTCGTTTTTATTTTGCTAACTTATCCGTTGACTTGTATGTAACTATTGGCTTGTGTGTTAGATTCTTGACATTGGACCTGCGATTTGTGATTTCGACATTTCTTGTGTGTTACATTCTTGACATTGGACCTGTGATTCATGATTTAGATATTTCTGTCCCTGGATTTTCAAGTTTGGAATTGCGATTTGTTTATTTTATTGTGGAATTGATCTGCTATATCAATTTTTGAACAAGTATGTAGTTTATACAGTGTTTTCTTTTATCTCTTTTGCCTTCAAACTCTCCTGAAATTATCAAATTTTCCAAGCATTCTATCTTCATTGTGCTCAACATATTTCAATTATCTCTCCTTGATGCTAAGTACAAGTGTATTTTTTGTTTCCAGTTTTTGTAAAACTTTGTCATTGGTCACATGTTTGGTTAATGGTATTGTCAGCATCTTTCTATTGCTTCAAGTCTCTTCATCCATGAGTACATTGTTTAGCATTTACTGCCATATATAAGGACTGATTTTTTGTAACAGTTCAGTACTCTTTTCTCTGTTTCTAACAAAACTTTTCTGTTTCTACATACTTTGCTTAGCTTTGAGTAGTCATCTTTCACTATCCATTGTGCTTTCAGATTTCAGTGTTAGCCTTTCCGTCTTCTGTTACAACACTTCCCAGATATCTAAATTGTTGTACTTGTTTGGTTTTGGTATCTTCAATTTGTAATTTCCATGTTGGGCTGTTCTTTTTGCTCACATGTTGAGAAAAAAAAGGCTTGGAGAATTTAATATTCACAACAAGGGAGGTGGGTGAAAGCTGAAATAATTAAAAAGAGAAAGAAGATATACTTTCAATATATATATATATATATATATATATATATATATTATGATAGATTCTAGGTAGTTCAATTAAAAAGTATTATTTACCTTATTTTCGATTTCACTCTTTCAATTTATTTTTCTTCTTTTCTGTCCTTGGTCATTAATACAGGATTTTTTTTTTTTTTTTTTTTAAATCTCACCCAATTCTTAGTGGCCTTTTTCTTCCATTTTTCTTGTTCTTGGCTCAAGTTTCTTTCTATTTCTTGAATCTTTGGTCTTTCTCTTTCTTTAACGTTTCTCTCCCAGTTGATGATGTTTTCATTTTTTTAGTCTACAAAGTTTATCTAACTCCATGACACAAGAAAACAGTTGAAGAAAGATTGTGTCGGGCCAATCACAAACTGGAGAAAATCTGCTTGCTGGATTATCTTGAAAATAAGCATACCAAGGCTTAGACACTGACCTCTGATACTGTTTAGAAATAACTATTTCAAACAGGTTCTTTTTGTTATTTATTTTACCCTGTTTTATGAATAATCAAGAGTGGTCTCCCCTTGTTTCGTTATTCTTCTCTTTAAGAGAGCTATTTCTGTTTACTGTGACTATAAAAGGACACTATATGCAAACCTTGTATTCTCAGTTGAATAAAGCTTCCTTAAAGCCTACACCTGCATACTTTTGGCATTACAGCCTGTTCATGGATTTTAGAATAAGCTAAAGAGTAAGAACCCCTTACACATAAGGTGCTACCTTCCAGGTGAATACTTGTAGGTTTGGAGTATATACCTGACCATTATCTACTTTTTTGACATTCATATGAACCAAACCTATGTCTTCCTTTTTAACTTGTATAAATTGAACTGATGTCTGATTGTGATTTTTGTCCTGTGAGATTTAACATTACATAATCCAACAAAGGTTGATATGTAATTAAATTAACCAAGCTAACTTTCTTATATGTCCATCATATTGGCTCTTCACAATTTCCAGTTCTTTGTAGCTCTTAGTAAATTTTATCTTTTCACCATCTTTCCTAATTAATCTCTATTGTGCCAACCATTTACACATGGTTGTTAGGTAGGTTATGCACTTCTTTTCTCTGTCCTTCTTGCCTTCAATATGATCCGTTTCAAATTTTCCAAGCACTCTTTCCTCATTATGTGCCCGAGAAATTTCAACTCTTTCTGATGTAAAGTATAAGTGTCCTTTTCATTTCCATTTTCTCTAAAACTTTGTTAAAGATCACATGTTTAATCCATGGTATTCTTAGCATCCTTCTGTAAAACCACATTTCTGTTGCGTCAAGTCTCTTCTTAATCTTTGAGGAGATTACCCAGCATTCACTGTCATACAGGAGGACTGATATTACATATCATTCCAGTACTGTTTTCTTTGTTTCTAATGAGATTTTCCTAATTGTTAATACTTTGCTTAGCTTTGGGAGCATTTTTCCTATCCTAAAGTGCCTTCACATTTCAGTGTTGCATTTTCCATCTTCTGTTAAAACACTTCCTACATATTTAAATTTTTGTACTTATTTAATTCTGGTATCTCCAATTTGTAATTTATATGTTGGACTCTTCTTTTGACAACAATACATTCTCTCTTACATTTGATGTTTAGTCCTTTCTTCTTGCTTTTCTTTATTACCTTCTGTAAGAGTACTTGCAGTTTTATTTCTTTGTCTGCTATCAACACTATGTCATCTTCATAACTAATGTTGTTAAGATTGTAGCCACAAATAGTGAATACTGGCAGGAATTCTAATTCTTGCAGAATGTCCTAACTGTAAAAGTTGAATAACTCTGGTGAGAAACATATCTTTGTCTTCTTGTTATTTTCTTGCTAAATGTATGTAAGCTAATATGGCACATAGCTAAATATAAGGAAATAAAAAAGATTGTGAAATTGTGTTTCATCAATTTTCACAATGGAGATGGCCTGCCTACCTTGAATATCAGCAATAAAATCTTGGCTTTTACTTAGTTTTGAACTCTGATCTTTATAGTTGGAAAAATTCAACTATCTCAACCACAAGACAGTCTTTTTTCGATCTGTTTTCTCTTTCAGGTTCTTTTTTTGTATCACTTCTCCACATTTTCTTCATACCCACTCACTCACTCTTATCCTTTTTCCTTTCTTATTGTCTGTCTTCATTTTTTTTTTTATTATCAGAGTGATTTCTCTCCCTTTCAATTCAAACTTTCCTCTTCATTTTTTTCTTATCTGCTCTTCCCACCTCACACAATACAAATTTACTTTCAGACTATTGAGGCAAGATGATTTTGGTAAGAATAACATTCTCCCAAGCCAATGGTACTTAGAATATAAGTACTTATAACCCACAGAGAATTAGAAGGACATTATTGTTAGAATGGTTTAACCTTACCATGACTGTCTGAAGGATGGACTTGTGAATACTCAGGATGACCACTCCAAGAGAGTGTAGTAGTAGTAGTAGTAGTAGGAAAAAAAAAAGAGAGACAAGGTAGGAGGTGGTGGTGGTCAGTTAATATTATAGTGATAGTGGAAAATGGACATGTGATGTGACTAAGGAGGTGGGACAGTGGGTTTGGGTGGGTGGGATACTAGCTGGTCAGTTGGTGATGGATGGATTTGAGTGGCTGGTCAACAACCAACAATGCAGGTAGCCTGAACACTGAAGAAAAAGTATTAAACCAATGTTGACAGAATGAAGTCATGGAGGGGTTGGATGAAGTAATAGGTGGGGTAAGAAGACATAGTAAGAATTGGGTATGCTCTCTCTCCTTTTACTTTCATTCTACCAATTCATTTCTTTTTAGCTTTCTAATTCACTTGATATAATGCATGTTCTTAATTTTCTTCCCTCTTTTTCTTTTTAGTCTTCTTACTGTATTATCTTAAGCAATCTTCCTGCTTACTTCTTATTCTTTTTAATGGCTTATTTTCCTGTGCTTTTTTCTAATGTCTTCCATGTTTTTTTCATCTTAGGAATTCTCTGATTCTAATGCTGCTTGCTTTCCTTCATTTTTTTTTTCTATTTAATACTTTTTTTTTAATCATTTCATTCCATGCAAGGCAAGACAGCCACTACAATACTAGGGGTTACTGAGTGTAAAGGAATAAGTGAAAGAGAAACATAATTAAGGAGGGAGAACAATAAAAGAAGAGGAATCAAGAAGACAGTAGATAATGATTGACATTGCATTTAAATTTTTGAAGATCATATTTGGGTGGAAAGCAAGAAGCCAGAATAGAGTTCCATAAATGAGAAAAGAAACATTTAGCAAAGAACTTATGGTTACATCTAGCCAATTCAACTGTAAAATGATGAGATCTTGCTACCAATCTAGTACTGTGCTTAAATTCATAAACTCTAGGTACCGTAGAGGAAAGTAATATTTATTTTGTAAAGGTACAAAAATGTGGCACAATGCCAAAAGTGGGGATGAGGAAGGAAAGTCTTCTTCTGTCTTATAATTAAACCATGCTAGCTACAGTTACTGACCCAATCATGCCACAGTATTCCTCATACCAAAACAACACATTCTTACCATTCTTACTACATCCACCATAATACCTTTAAGTCTCTATTAAATCCTAATTAATCCTCACATGCACAATTTTTGTCTGTGGGGAATAAAAACAACAAATTTAAAAAATAATCTAACCCCAATATTTATTTATAATATACCATAGAGGAAAATTCCTCAGAACAATTTCCATGAAAGTATTTATAGAAAAGGCATGAGGAAGCTACATTAAGGTGGTAGGTAAGTGATTGAATGCCAAGTCAAAGCCAATATCATTGCACATTCTTCTTTGGATTTTATCAAGAATCTCTAAATATATAGCAAGACCACCAGACCATGTGTGGCACTACTATTTGAAGCATGAATGAATGGTAGACTTATAAATATATATGATAGATTCTGGTGTGAGGACTCTATGGATCAACTTTCCTAGCAGAAGACCTAGTGAATGATTCAGTATAATCTTTCTACTTCATGTCAACAGAGAATGTTAGTCCAAGAAAGTGCAACAAGATTAGTAACCTGGAGGTTAGCATCAGCCATGCTGATGAAATGCAGAAAGGGATCTCTCAAATGATTAATAGAAAGCAGTTTTATTTTGGAGACATTAAAATTAATAAGCCATTCCTTGTTCCAGTTAACAGAAGATTTTAGGTCACTTTTGAAATCGGCTGCCAAACTGATCTTATCAAACTGATCAGACCTAATATTTACTTACCTTTAGTGTATCATTAGTGTAAAGAATTTTTCTTTACCCTCTCTTAATTTCTGTCTGAATTTCTGGGATAAAGAGTTATCATTGTTTCCATTATTTGCAATCAAACTATTTTCCTCGTTTTTGTTGTCGTCATCACAACCTTTTGACTGCTGTGCCTTCAGAAGGTATTTGTCAATCTGGGTAACCTTCAGGGAGTTTCAAAGCAAACCCTTTATTTAATCTATGGAAATAGTCTGCTAATCAAATTTATGGATATCTCATCTAGTTCTTATTTTGTACTGCTCAGTTATTGCTCACTTGTGTCAATTTTGGTGGAAGCTTTTCCAGCCACTTCTATTGGTGAGCAATAAATGAGTAGTACTAAATATGAACTAAACGAAATATGCCTAGACATGGTCAGTGGAACACAAGCAATTTAGCCCCATAGATTAAATAAAGGGTTTAATGTGAAATTCCCTGAATCTTATATGATTGACAAGCACTGGATGAAGGCCAGAGGGAACAACAGCCAAAACGTGGTGATAACAATAAAAACAAGGACAATAGTCCCTATGTTTTAAAATGCTTTTTTCTTTCCTTCTAAATCACAAAGAACATCTTTCCTCAATACACTTTCTCTTTTACATTCTCATCTTCCAACTTTTTATTATATTTTGATGGATATAGTCATTATTCTGAAAACATTCCTTATTCTCTTACTAGTACTTTACCTGTTTGCCATTCTTCTTTCCATTTTTTTCTTTTTTCATCTTGTTTTCTATTTTATTTGATTTCCTTGATTAATTTTTCTTTATATTTTTCTTCACATGATAACATTCTTAGACTTTCTTTTCCTTTCTTTTAATTTGACAATTTCTAATTTTTTCCTGAAATTTCTTTCATTTTAATTGTTTATAGTTTTTCTTTTTCTTCTCAAACCTCTTTTTGACAATTTTTATTTGTCCTTTCACAACATATATTTTAGAGCTTTTATTATTATTATTTTTTTTCTTTGCTTGCTTCCAGTTCTTTGGGCCTTCTCCTACTTCTTAAACTCTTTCCATTTCTTTCCTGAATTCTTTCCTTTTATCCTTTTTCTTTCTTTCATTCATTATACATTTTCTTTTCTATTCTTAATTCCTTCTTTTGTTCCCTTGACCCTTCTGTTAGTTTTCTTTCTTCCTTTTGTCATATATACACTTTTTTCTTTACATTCTTCCTTGTTACATGTACTCTGTCTTTACACTTTTACTGCATTTGCTTCTTTTATTCTTTTTTCTTTCTTTTCTTCACCATTTCTTTCTTTTGTTCTCTATACTTTTTTGTTCCTTAATTCCTTCTTTTATCCCATTTTATTTTCCCTTTCCTTTTTTTTATTCTCTTTACTTTTTCTTTATTATCTTCATTCTTTTTTTGTTCTCTGTATCCTTTCTTTAATTCCTACACCCTTTCTTTCTTTATATCTTTTGTTCTCTATACCCTCTCTTTTTCTTTCCTTAATTTCTTCATTCCTTTTTTTTCCTTCTTTTGTTTCATATACCCTCTCTTTCTTTACTTTCTTCTTGCATTTGTTCCTTTTATCCTTCCTTTTTTCTTTCTTTCTTATCTTTTCTTTCTTTTGTCCTCTTTTTTCTTTTTTTTTTAATTATTTTTGTTTCTTTTTGCTCTTTCTTTTTGTATTCTATTTATACTTTTGAATGTATATTCCTTTCTTTATTGATGTTTATTCAGGATTTCTCTCTCTCTTTTTCTCATATGTCACTCTCTCTCCTTTACATTCTGTTTCTTTCATTTCCCTGTAGATTTTTTTTTTCTGGTCATTGGCCAACCTCCAAATTTATACCTTCCAGGAGATGTCCCTTCACAAGATTAAAGTCTGCCTGTATGACTCCAGTGTCAAGTCCACCTTGTTTTCCCATTTTAGTATTTTGGAGGCGACATGTGATAGAACAAGCAACATTAAACTTGATACAACTTTAAATAAATGAGGAGAGAAACACATACAGATATATACCTAACTTTATGAAGCTTGCATAAACATATGCACGTACACTTATTATACACATGAATAAAAATATATTTGATCATGTATATAATGCCACACATGCATATATTTGATGACTAAATGACCCTTGTATATGTATGTGTACACACACACATACATACATATATATATATATATATATATATATTTGATCACTAAATGACTGCTATATATATGATCACTAAATGACTCCTATATATATATATATATATATATATATATATATAACACTAGCAATATAACCCTTCTTCAACCGGGTCTTTCATTACTGGGAATTTTTGCCATTCAATTGGAGCAGTTTAAGTTTAAAGTCAGCCCACCCGATATTATTATTAGTAACAATAGTTGGGTTCAACTGAGGCACAGCCTTAAATCGGGAGGGGTTAACAATTTGAATGTGGGGGCCCTGAAAAGGGATGTTTTTTTGTGTTCTCAATCTTGTTTCAGCCTCACACACATCAGCAGTTGAAGAGGCATTTCCCCTCAGCTGTTGATTCCTTTGATCCTCATTTTCAGTCTTGCGCGCAGAAGAGTTCAGATATGCTCTTCTGGAAAGCCGATGACTATGTTTATCTTTGGACTCAGTGGCTCTGATTGAAGCATTCCAAAAAGCATTTTGAGACAGGCAAACTGAATGCTCTAAAATTCGTTATATCTTATTCGCATGGTGGACTTTGCAGCAGTGGTTTTGCAACCTATGCAAGTTCTTTTCTTTGTGACATGTTCTAGGCAAGTATGAATTGTCAAATGGAATGTGTGGGCAAATACCAGAAGAGAATGCTGTAAAACTACAGCGATCACTAAGCTCGAATAAATTTAGGAAAGGTTGGAAAAATAAATGTTAAGTAATAAAAAAGCAAGCTTACTTATTACTACGGTGAACATAATGCAAAAATTGGCAGGACAATAAAAAAATTAAATAGAGGACAGATATAAACAACAATGAAAGCAATGCCTTAAAACTGTAGTAGTAGGCTTTATGCAATGGAAAAGGTAACCGCACTTGAGAGAGATTGAAGTTTGGCCAGAGAGAAGGGGAATGTGTAAGCAGGGTGGCTGTACAGAAATAGAAGTGGAATTAAGCAGTAGTAATGAGCTTAGGACTGCGGTGACATTTGATTGAACGTATAAAGGGGTTTCATGCAAACTGAAAATGGCATAATTTGAACAGATGTTGTAGATTACATATAGGTCATGCGATATATATAAAGGCATTAGCACATAACATATCGTATGACACAGTGTGTATATATAGGCCAACATAGACGGTTATATGCACACGCACGCTTAATTATCAAGGTCAGCAGCAACTGATGGGCAATGTGTGGACTCACACCCACACAGCATAAGCTAGGATTGGAAAGTTATGTGTGAAAAAGTAAATTAAATTTTGCCTTTGGTTTTTTTGCAAAGTGTAAAAAAATCAGTTTTTCTGGTTTTTTATCATTAGGGTTGTAATTATTCCAGCCAATTTGGGCTCAAAACTGGCACTGAAGAATTATCGATAATACAAAAAAATTTCATGGCAATCGGATGAAAACTGTGGAAACGCATAAACATCCCCCAAATATATACACACACACATTTTGAGAATTATAGATATACATAAAAATATAAATATATATATATATATAAATATATATATGGATAAGTTTTATATAAATATTTATTTTTTATATATATATATATGGACAAGGAATATATATATATACGTTTACTCTTAATATATATACAATATATATATACAACAAATTTAATATATATATTCATACACACATATATATGTAGATTCAATGGTCCATTTATATAAATATATATACATTTTCACTTAGAATATATATACATATATATATACTAATCTAATAATATATATGTACTGATTATATATATATATATCCGCTCTTTTCCTTAATTTTAGTTTTACAATCATGCAACATATACGTTATTTTTTATATATATATATATTTTACAACACACACACACACACATATTCATAGGAGGAAAAAAAACACACACACACACACTTCAATAGCATACATCCCAAGTAAGGAACAAAGTCAAAATGGGCAACAAAGTCACATACAGAAACAAGGGTTACTGGATATGAAAGAATATGAGAAAAATATTATTATGGAGTGAGAACAATGAAAAAACAGAAATTAAAAAGACAAAGATAATAATTGACATTGCATTTAAATTTTGAATATCAAACTTGACTGGAAAGCAAGAACCTGGAAGCGAGTTCAATAAGCAAAAAGTGCAAAATAAGAAATTGGTAGAATAAAAATTATAGTTAGATCTTAGAATTTTAAGTGTAAAATGATGAGACCATGCTGCCAATCTAGTACTGCACTTAAATTCATAAAGTCTAAATTAGAGGAAATCAGAGAGCCAAGTTAATTTCGGTCGAGTTCATTACATAAACTTACATGCAAATACCCTGGGAAAGGTAGAACCATCTTTTTCCTCCAGCAATGGGTTAAATAGTAAACTTCTATCAGAGAATCATTATTATTTCCACCTTTTAAACAATCTAAAAAGTATGGCTGGGCTTTTAAATAACCTCAAAATGGTTGATATCAGTTGTAAAAAACAAGTCAATCAACCAAAAAGAAAGCTCATCAGAATAATTACCATGAGGGTATTTATAGAAAAGGCACAGGGAAGCTACCTTGCTAAGTAGGAAAGTGACAAACGGGGTAGCATAAAGATTACATAAATTAAAAATATTAAGGCAGTCAAGTTACATTTTATCAATTTTCATTCTTGCTAAATATATTAGCCTATCTTTGATTAATAAAACAAAAATATTGTTACTCTTCATTTTATCCTGTTTTTTTTTTATTCTATGAATAAATAATTCTTAATATCTAAACAACAAAATATATAGTCCTTAACAGGGACAGCCCAAGGATCTATGAATTGGAGATATTTAGAGACTCTTGATGATATCCAAAGTATCTGCAATGTTATTGGTCCTGTTCTGGCATCCCATCTTTGGTCACTTTCCCACTGCTGTAATGTAGCTTCCCTTTGCCTTTTCTATAAATACTTTCATGGTAATTGTTTGATGAGATTTAGACCTTATGAATTATATATACAAGATTGGCATGGTGGAGTAATGATAGTTATCGGACTGAGGAATTGGAGAGTCAAGTTTGAATAAGTTGAATGAAAATCATTGGAAATTTAATTTCTTCCATCATTGAATAACTTTAGGCAATATAAAATACAAAAACCACACTGCTCTCTCTAAATATTTCTGGCAATTAAATAATACTAGTAGTTCCTCTTTTATTAACTGTGATATTATATCAAGAGCCAAATCTTATAACGAAAAAGGAAATAAAGGTAACTTAGTCCTGTTGAAAAACATTTAAATAACATGAAATTATTAAACAAGAGAAATGAATTGATGGTTACATGTAGGCAGAAAAATAAATATCTGCTTAAACATGTTGATCCAGATTAATTTGTAACATAAATTCCAGTTTATTTTTAATGTAAATTACTGTTTATTTTTAATATAAATTACTTTGCTTTTTGTTTTTTAAATAAGAATAAGTAATCTCCCTTTAATTAAAAATGAATATTCACAACTCAAAAATAAATTTTTTTAAAATTCTCCTTTTTTCTTACATACATATATAAATCCTGTTAATTTTAATTGCCAAATATAATTTTTAAAATTAAAAAACTGTAATCCTAGCATAACATATTGTGATAACTAGATATATTTTTAAAAATTCAAATTACATAACAGTCAGTCCATAATCAGCACCTGAAGACTGTGCTGTGCATAAAACTTGAAAAGTCGTGCTTGTAGTGAGGTTTGGTTTGGTTTGTTTTACAGCATATCAACCTCAACAAGGTATTTGATGCTGACAAAATTTTTACAATAGATTCATATGAATAGAATATGTATTCTTTGTAGGAGATCAGGTTTCATTGACATATTTTTATGAAGAGGGTTTTTGTCGAGAGTCTGGTTTCATTGAAATATTCTTTTCAGATATACAGTTTGTAGAGAAATTGATTTTATTGACATCTCATTTGGTTTATATATTTTGGTAGAGGCCCACAGTTTTAAGAAATAATACTATTGTCCACTTTTACTTTCTCAAAGAGCTCATACATGTTGTTTAAATTATTTGTTTTGAGAGAGCAAGGTCTGAACACTCAATTAATATATGTTTAATAGTGTATGCTGTTTCACATGCTTAGTATACTGGTTGATTTTCATAGTAGGAGTGGGTTATTTTCATGTGGCCAATACATAAGAAGGCCAGTACTCCTACTTCCTTTCAAGATTTTCTGAAAGCGGACTTCCATTCTCCTAGTTTGAGCTGAAATGCAAAAAGTTTATTTTGTCAGTTATTGTTCCAGCACCATTGCTATTCCTTTTGAATATACTTGTTAATGACCTCCAAAAAACCAATGTATGGGATTTTGATCCTTGTGTCTACATATCTAAAGCTGATTTGGCTACTAGGTCTGCTTTATTGTTACCTTCAACTTCAATGTGGCTAGGAATCCAACATAGTTTAATGTCTTTATAAGTAGTGCTCATTTTACATAATAGTTTGATCATGAGTAGGCTGTTGGATTTTTTTCCTTCAAAGCTATTAGGATGGATAGTGAGTCTGAAAAAAT